TATGTCGTTTTACCCAAGTGTGAACAAGAACACGTTTTTTACAATAAATTTTTTGTTTAAACAAACAAAGCTTACAAACATGATGTTTCTGTTAATATGAATAACAATACATACCTGGAACTAACAGATATATAAAATTTTAAAGTTTTAAACGTTTTATAGCGAAGTATACGTCGCCTACCAAAATCTTTTGGAACATCAATTATTTATTTGCACAATTATGCACCACGTGATGCTCTTGTATAAAACTTCTTAGCGCATAGCCATGTTGCCAAGTTAGAGATACACCGGATGTGTCATTTTACCCTAGTATGTCATTTTGGGCCAGGTTCCCCGAAGTTTTTACGGTGCATTTCAAATGGAGTCAATTTTTCCAAGGTTTCACATATTTTCTGGCCAGTGAAAACTATGTTGTTATTCATATTTCGACGAGCTACCCCAGAATAAAAAAAGAGTCTTGCAGCTGCAATTGAAGCCGAGATAACGTAAATTTTTCCTACGTGTTTCAATTTGAAGTTCCGACGTCGAAAAAAAAAACAGAGCTGAAACAGTTATCCTCTTTACTTTCCTATGTCGATCTTTCGAAAATACCTTCGTTTCGAAAAACTAGATAAATTTTATAGCTATAAGTTTAGATTTTCATTCAAAATCTGTGTTAATTTTACTTCTTAATATTTATAAACAATGGAGATTTTTTTAAAATTGTCGCTAACTTCGTTCCTATTGGTCATAGGTTTTTTATTTTTTAATGTGAGTTTTTTTACCAGCAATCCAATGGTTGTAGGTACAAGTCTGTAGCTAGAAAAATATAGAATTATAGAGGACACACTTCTGCAATACATGAATACTTGTTGAAGAGAGAAGAGGAACCAGTGTGTTTTGTTTGTGAATGTAAAGTGACAGTGAAGCACATTTTTATTGACTGTCCAATATACTCAGTTGAAAGACTATATCACCACATTCCAAAAACATTAAAAGAACTTCTAGGAGAATCTAACTACGTAGGTAGCTGACTTGATAGAATTCTTAAAATCTATAAACTTTTTAATAAAAGTTAATACAATACATCAATAAATAAAACATATTATTATATTGTATACATTATTATGTAATTGATATTTTGTATATGCCTATGTAAGTCTATGTAAGTCTTTTTTGTATTTTTCTTATGCTAATAACCCTAAGTGGTTGAAGCAAAATAAATAAAAAGAAAATTATTTCAGCGAAGCGTCTAGTTATGTATATTTATAGTTTTTTCATTAATAAGTACATAATTAAATATTTTTATTTGTGAATATTTATTATTACAAATCGAATATTGATTTATTTTATTTTGTTATAGATATTTATATAATATTTTAAATTACAAGGTAGGCTTCGCACCTACACACATTAAAAAAATCAATAATACAAACCATACCTATTGAATTAATGACAGTGATAAGATAAACCAACAATAATATGTATTCCAAACTAATTTAAATTTCACCAAAAATCACGTGTACATTTCATCCAATAAGATACAGACCTGTGGCTTCAATAGACCAAGTATTCCTGCTCTGTATGTACAGGACAGAGACAGATAATGTGACGACACAACTGCAGCGTGGCACACTGCGAGTCTCGTGGCGAAATTCTAGTTACAGCAGGTCTTTCAGTGAATATCGGCGTTGCCGGCGTATGATTATTTCATTGGCGTTAATAAAAATATAAAACTATGCCCGCAGAGGAATAATAAATAATAAATATTTAAGCTGACATGGCAGCGGTATAATTTAAGACTAGAACACTTCTAGTGTTAGCTATTGTGTAAATGTATTTAATGTGTTTAATATAAACATAACATTTGGAGTCTTCGCTCTTTCCTGCGGTTGGTGGGGATCCACTGTAACATTCTCTTTGGCCATCGTTGAACATTCATCCTTTCTACATGGCCATACCATTTCAGCCTTTTGCATTCTATAGTTTCAAGGATGTCAATGTCTATGCCCATATGCTCTCTGATTTCAGTATTCCTTACTCTATCTCTTCTAGTGAGTTGGCAACATCTCCAATAATTCGTTTCCACTGCTTTTATTTTGGATGCGTCATTTTTATTTATTACCCAAAGCTCTGAACCATATGTAGCAATGCTTTCTATGATACTTTTGTATATCCTAATTTTTGTGTTTCGGGTGATGTGGTTATTCCAAAGTATACTATTCAGTTGAGGTATTGCTGAATTTCCTTGACCAATTCTAGTAGCTATTTCTTTTGTATTCCGACCATTGTTTGTAATGTTTACACCGAGATATTAATATATATATAGCTATCAGTATTTTGAATTTGTTTGCTTCCTAGATCTAAGTGCTTTCCTTCACCTCCCACTACTACGTACTCTATTTTTGATGGATTAATTGATAAGCCCCACTTAGTATATTCTTCATCTATTTTTCGTAACATGTAGTGGATATCATCTTGATCTTCTGCAAGTATTACTTGGTCATCAGCAAAATGCAAGCTGTACAGTGTATGGCCTCCAATTTTAACACCCATAGGTTCACATTTTCTTTTCCAAATATCCAAAACTCCCTCCAAATAAATCTTAAAGAGTGTAGGTGCAATGCAGCAGCCTTGGCGAAGTCTTTGGTCACTTTTATCTTTTTTGTCACTTTTTGTCCAATCTTTATTACACTCGTCATATCATCGTACAACTCCCTTACAGCATTAATGTAAATCGGTGGAATATTCTTGTCTTCTAGCACCTGCCATAGCTTGGCTAATGGAACACTGTCATACGCTTTTTGAAGATCAATAAATACCATGTGTGTCTTCACATTATGTTCCAAACGCTTTTCTATTGTTTGTTTTAGGCAGAACACATTGTCTATACAAGAACGACCAGTACGAAAGCCACTCTGATCTTCAGCGTCTTCCCAACAATCTTCAATTCGGCTTTTAATTATCTTCCCGTAGACTCTACAGATTGAGTTAGTTACACTAAGCACTCGGTAGTTCTTACAACATTTTCTGTCGCCTTTATTTTTGTATAGATTGCTGATATATGCAGTTTTCCATTCTGGGGGTAGCTGTTCTCCTCTCAAGAATAAATTAAAAGTATAAGCCATAGCTGAAATAGTTTGTCAGGGCCATATTTATTCAGTTCAATGGGTACTCCCCCCGGTCCTGGAGCCTTTCCATTTTTCATAGCGTTGGCGTGTTTTTTTAATTTCTTCTGGTGTTATTTCAGTTTCTTCGCGGAAGGAAATATCATATTTTTGGTAGCCAATATCTTGGAATTCTGTTCGATCTTCTGTCAGCATTTGTTCATAATATTCGACCCATAATTCTGGGGCTATTAGAGTTAACCTCTAATTGTTTTCCAGGCTTCTTTACTTCTTGCTGTACCCATAAAATTGTCTACGTTATCGCAGGCTTTATTCCACATCTCATTTTTGGCTTTACTTACCTCTTTTTATTTACTTCTTTGTATAAACTGTTGTAATGTTGTCGATAGTTAGGATCCTTTGTTGCTAGCCATTTGTTATACATATTTCTCTTCTTCCCCACAAGATCTTCTATTTCTTTATTCCACCATTTATTTCTATTTTTATGCTATCCACTTCTCCAATAGCTTCCATTGCAACTTCGTCAAGAGCTTTCATAATTTCGTTGTACGTATTAATTGGTGAGAAGTAACAAACATCGTCTAATTTCAGATTCAACCTCATTCAATACAGAAACTGGGTAGACTAATTTTCAAAACATTGTAGATTATATCTATTTGTTGAAAGGTCTTGCAGTATCATTGAACTTTCATTTTCTTGTTTGTCGTTGGCTTCCTTTAAATGTAAATAGTAGTGACGCTTTAAGCAAATGATGATCAGATCCACATTCTGCTCCTCGATGAACTCTAACGTTATTAACCTATTAACCTTTATATATAAAACTTGGAAGTACACTTGTTCTTTCAAATTATATGTAATATAGTTATTTTCTTTTAAGTAGATTACACACTTCTTTTAGTTTCGTGTGTGCCTCAGTTACACCGCTAAGTGGGGTAACATGGGACAACGCTCTAAAATCCATGTAAAAACTTAGTTAAAATAAGTAAAAAAAAGGTAAAAAAGGTCATTTATAATGATAAGTAAGGTAATAAAGTACATCTAAGTTGAAAATGGATTTTTTTAATCTACATAATAAAGAAAATGGCAACCTATGTAGGTAAGAAATGAGATCGCTGTATGATCATAATAAAACCGTTACAAATTAGGCTGAAGTTCGTAAGGAAATGTGTATCTTCCTTTCCTCACATTATTTGTTGGCGTCACCATCATTATAATTGATTTTAAATTAATATGTTCATTCATCATCAACATTACTAGAGCATTCCAGACATCCCAACATCCCAGAAACTATACAAGAAGCCGAGGACGACCACCGACTAGATCGACCGATGATATAAAACGTGTAGCGGGAAACTGGCTAGAAGCAGCTCAGTGTAGAGAACACTGGAAAGAACTGAGGGAGACCTATGTCCAGCAGTGGACGCGATTGGCTGATTTGTAATGATTTTAATTATATATTTAAAGAATCGATAAGTTCTCAAACCGATTTTCCGAAAAATTTTGTTTCCTGGATCTTTTCTAGATTTGCGGGCTGCTAGTCCGACTTTAAATTTTGTATACCATCAGCTCACGTTATCTCTGAAAGGTTAATAATTGTTATCGAAGTATTACTTTTCTAAAGAGCATTTTTGCAAAGTTGAAAAAAAATATAACAACAATTTACAATAAATTTTTAATTTTGATTTGAAATTTTTAATCCTCTGTATATCAATATACTTCAAACTTATTATTACACATTTTTGTAAGAACTTTTACTCTTAAAATTAAATTGTGAATCCGTTCATGATAGTGTTTCCATGTAACTCTTTAACTAAAAATAAACTGGCAACGGAGCACTTCATTTTATGACCGCCGGCCTTTAGCCGATTACTCGTTCCGTGGCAAGAACAAAGTTTTTCATTCACATTCAGTTCAGTTAACTTCGAAACTTTGTCGTGGAAGTACAAAATCATGTTTGGAAACACGCTTTTCACCGGCTTCTTTTTCGTCGCACTTTTCTCCATCGCATCTTGCACCGATGACCTAAAAGTTGATGTGTTATTCAAACCCGAAATGTGTGATGTTAAGTCAAAGCAAGGAGATACGTTGACTATGCACTACACTGGTACTTTGACCGATGGTAGTAAATTCGATTCAAGGTAAGATATTTATAACCAAAAATTTATTTTAAATAAAATCTTTATCAATAACTAGTTTTCAACAATCAGTCATTGATAATGTCTTATACTGTCACAGACAATACTTATTACCGTCTTCAGTGTTAATGTTTATCTTCGTTATTTGACCCAATAACTATTTCCTGGTATTATGCTAATATTAGTTTTTAAGTTCTTTGTTGATATAATTATGTACTTTTATTCTGTTTTTTCTTATCGTTAGTCTAAGTTGTAAATACAATTTGGATGTCCGAAGATGAAACTGATGTACTAACCTCAATTCTTGTTTTTAATTTAGTGATCAAATCTGCTGCTATTTGGCCTGGATTTTTTGTTTTCTTTTGTTACAAAGAATTTATTTGTTATACAATCTGTGTTGTTTACTTTTATGTCATGTCAAAGTATATTGTTTTACTTTGTTATTATTGAAATCAACAATAAGTATACCTAACGTAAAATTAAATATTTTCATTTTGATTTCCATTTATAAATAAATAACTACTTAAGTATAAGCGTATTAAAAATAATATCAATAAATTACAAATATTATGTTTTTCTAAATTAGATCAAGGCAGATATGTGAAAAAACAGCACTTACATTTGAATATGACAAGTAGCATTCTAATTTTTGCACAAAATTGTGTGACAAGTTCAGTAATAGTAATTGACTTATTATTAATATATTAATATTAAAATTAATGTAAAAGTTACTAAAAACATCGTTTTTTTTTCGTTCCTTGCTTAGAACTTTAACCCTTTAAGCCGCAGGTTTATTATGATGAATTGTTTTCAAAGTTTTTTCAGATAATAGTTTGGAATATTATATTAGTATATCAGCTACTAGATTTTGAATATATTTTTGTTTTTACTATGAAAAAAAAGAATGCTGGCCAACCGTTGTACCAGAGTTCAAAAAAGAAATAATTTTCATGCTAGTTTCTTCCTTACATAGGTTGTACCAAATGATAAAAAATGGATTAATAATAGGTATAGGACTTTAAATAATACAAAAATACTGCACAATGTTGTAATAAACAAACAAAAATATAATAATAAAAATAATAGTTCAGGCACTTAAATGATATGGTTTAAAACAATCTAATCCACTTTACAGTCTACACACTCTATACTTCATCTAATTTACTTACTGTTGCACGTTATTATCATTGACAGGCATCCAAGTTGACATAGTTGCCAAAGTATTACCATCTCTTTACAACGACTATTTAAATTCTTACGTGGCATTTTTGAAATAAAACACACTAATGTTGTTCTAAAAAGAACAGATTTTATTAAATAGATAAGAATATAAAACAAGAGGTATTCACTTTAAAATTTAAAATTATAAAATACAAAAAGTGTCAAATAAGTGTTACAAATGGACCACACGAGTGATGGCGTAGATTTTATTGACATCTGTCAGTTTCACTTTCCAAACAAACCTTGTTTAGTGTGGATAATTTGTATTTTTAGTTATTTTTTCATTTATTTTATAGAATCTTTCCGCTTTTTGCAATATTTAAGTATTCTAATAGTTACTACAACAATTTTACATGGCTGTGTAAATAATAAAGCACATTGTTTTATGCTAATAGCAATAAAATGCATAAAGTAAGGTTATAATTTCTTTAATTTAAACTTTTAAACTATATTTCATAGAAATGGAACTCTGAATTTTGATGGTATTATTGTAAAAAACACTATCCTTACAAGAAAAAGCAGCAGAGGAAGCAAAATGTTAACTTTATAGAAATTAAAAAGTCTTGAGATTTGACATTTCAGCTTTTGTTTGAAAAGTAATAATGACAATGTGACAGTTGTGACGTCACACTCCTGCGGTCCATTTATGCCAAAATATAACCTTCGTTCGATTACAGTTACAGTGTGTTCCGAACAAAAATGTTCTTCATAAAAACGCTTTATAATGCATTTATACAAATTAAATGAAACATATTATTATGTATTTCTTTAAGTTAACATTAATAGAAATATTTAAATATTATTTCTACGCGTATATAATAAAATATGTCTAGTGACTGTAATGCCAGTGTACTCGGCAAATTGATTCTAAAAAAGAACCCACTTAGGTACTGCCTAAATATTTCGTGTTGGTATCATGTGACCTCACGGACTATGACGCGGATGACGTGCAACGGTAAGTTAATTGGATGAAGTATATACCACTGCGTTTCTGTAATCCCGTTGTTGAGAACTTCTGGTATCGTCTTCGCGTGGTTTTTGTGGCAAATGACCAACATTTTGAAAATATTTCATGTTCAATGGCCTCCAAATTTATTTTCTCTATGGAAAATCTTTTACAAGACTGATAGCCAATTTGGGTGACGAGTAGACGGGAGTGAATCGGCGAAATCATTACATATGTAAGATATAGGTAAAAGAGGGACAGAAGATATATTTTCTCTCTCTTTCTCTCTCGAGAATAAAAATGTTCCTTTTGTAAATATATTTAATATTTATTAATAATATTATTATTTTTCCATTTTGTTCAAATTTGTCTTGAGCCTCGTAAGGCATGTTAAATTACAAATTAAAACTTGTAAATATCTCAAGAAAGTTCAAATGTGTACTTATATGCACAACAAACAAAAATTAAATTTTGTATATGTCAATGTCAGACAAATTGACAGTTGTATCACGAAACAATATTTTTATTTTATTAATATTATTAATTACTATTTAACTGGGAATAAGCCACAATTAAAAATAAAAATACGATTTCCGAAGTGGAAATTGAAACGTCAATAAACGTATTTTTATCTTTAATTGTGGCTTATTCCCAGTTACATAGTAATTAATTTAAAATGCCACAAGAAAATAGCTTCAGAACAATATTAATATTATTATCATGGTAAATTAAACATATGCGTACGTAAGTTATGTATATTGTCATTTTTAAATACTTATTTAAGTTTTTAACTACTAGTTTTGTAGATTAAAACAGTTATAACTTTATTTCTCTTTCGAATTTCTTAATACAATATTTAAGGACAGTATTTCATTGATAGTAAAAAAGGTTTGTACGTAAAAAAAAACAAATTGATTTTTTGAAAGTAGAAGTTCCCTTAAGGGTGTCTAATTATATCTGATAAAGGAACAGTTTGACAAGTAAAAAGGCCGTTTGAGATTTGGCCTACTGATATAAACCTTGACTGCAGTAAAATAAACCAGTGACTTTTTTATATTCTCTTCATTTTTTGAGATACCTCCACTGAAATAATTCTAAAATAGTAAAATCTATATGATCTCTGAATAATATCACCTATTCAATTAATGTATTTGTTTAGGTATACAGTCCAAGTACAGTCGTCAGATACATCTTTTCTACGGCGTACAGATTTTTGGTAAATTGATGTTTTTCGTCGCCCCCCACCCTACGAGGAGAAACCCGGTGATATGATGGCAAACATTTTTGAACCTTTTTTGAACCAAAATTAACATTTTCAGCAAAATTCAGCTTGTTCGTATGATTTTTAGAGGTTCAGTGGCGTTTTCGTTTCTGAGACTAGAGTAATCCTTGTAATTATAGGTACTTTCTACTAAAAAACAGATCTAGTTGAAGTATGTACTTCGTACAGCACTCGTACATATTCCTTCGTTCGACTATTTTTGGAGTTTCGCAACTGTATTTAACAATTTTGTAAATGTATTAACAGACTTTTTGATAGTTTCTATTCTCCTCGTATATTTTAAACCAAATTTTCGTGTGACACAGCGGTATTAAGAGCGTAGGCGCAAAATTTCGGGCCAATGCTTTTTAAATGCATTCATTTTTTTCGAATTCTGAGAAAACTAATAAATAATTGTAAAACATTTAAACACAGAATGAAAGAATACATTATTACCGAGGGCCGACAGTCCCTGAAAACTTCTATAATGTTTATTTTAATAAGTTACAGGGGTGAAAAAAAAAGAGAAAATTTAGTGTGATTTTTAATTTCAAATATCTCATTCAAAAAAAACTTTTTTGTTTATTCTAAGGGACTTTCGACCCTCGGTAATAATGTAATCTTTCAGTCTGCGTTTAAATTTTTCAAAAATATTTGTTTTCTCAGGAGTCCAAAAAAATAAATGCATTTAAAAAGCAGTGGCCCGAACTTTTGCGCTTACGCTCTTAAGGGCTAAAGATTGCAAGGCGGGCCATCTACGAAATATCACCATAGGGGATGCATTTCATACACAACTGAGTCGAGTTGTATCTCTCAAACAATGCACATGTGTATTAGACATAATTTGCGATAGCGTTGGGGCTATCTTTTCATTGGGTAAGGAACAATACATAATTAATTTGTTGCTGTTTATATCAAGTACGTGCACTTGATGTATTTATTTGATATTTGTTTGGAACTTCATCGTATTTGTGCCACGATCGCGATTGAACATTGTCAATTGAACATTGTAACGACTATTTTGCTTACCACAGGGTAGGAATATGGGGGACAAGATTGGGCAAACAAAATAATCGAAACAAGTGCATACGACACTCAGTTGGTTGGTGGAGAGCTGGGTCGTGGATAAGTTGAAGATATTGGGGGTTAGATTGGGGCAACTACAAAAAAAAAGAAATAAAGGGGTACTTATACAAATCTCTTGGGACAAACAGAATGAAAATAAACGGAAACACCTCAAGAAATTTAATATAGGGCGCCACTTGAGGTGCCTAATTATACCTATTACAACCACTAGTTGTAACTAGGGAAATAATTATAGAACGTCAAAAATATAAAAAAAATATCTTTTTCAAATAATGCTCAAAATAGATCAGAGAAACAAATTCATTTATTTTTGTATCTAGCAAAACAGATCAAAAATACATATTATAAAAGAAACATAACATAATACAAATAACAAAAACTTACATGTTCTTTGTTTACTATATTATGGCCAATTAGATTATCAAAAATTAAGGATCCTTGTTAATGAAAACATAATAAAATTTAACCTTACATATGAAATATCGTTTC